ATATCTAAACTTTAATTCCTACGATCCATATAGCATAAAGAAAATTATCTACAATATCTAGTAAAATTCATAAGTGATGATTCAGACATATATCAATAGGAAATTATCAGTATTAAGAATGCCTTTTAGAGCAACAATGACCAGGGCCAGCTCAAGGTACTGGTAGCTTGAGCAGTCACCCAGGGTACAATCAAGACCAAGGACATCATCATACCACTATATTTTGTGTTTGGGATCTTCCAAAATTAAAGATTACAAAAACATACTTGCGGTCATCCATGACTCAAGACAGATTAAATTCTTTGGCTATTTTATCAATAGAAAATGATCTTGTAAAGAAGATAGGTGTAGAAAGGGTCATGAAAAGATTTTCAGATCTAAAGGCTACAAAAATGTTTTAGGTAGGATAATAAATGTTTTCTTTCATTTATATTGTTGTATAATAAACTTGTTATTCTACATTTTTAGTTTTTCTTGTGAAAATTTAAAAAAATATATTTATAAGGATTCCAAAGTTCAGCTTGCCTGGAGTGCTAGCAACCCTAGGGGCATCACTAACAATGACCTTGCATGCATAACATCAACTTACACAGTTTGAATGAATAGCAAATGAAAAACATATCAGATGCAAGTTGGAAAGAATTCACATGGTCTATGGTTTATATCATATAATATCAGTTGTTGTACAAATCATATCAGTACTGTATTCCAAAGTATTTCTATACTTCAGAGATATCTCATTAGAGTAGTTCTATACTTCACAGATATCGTATCAGATCAAAGCTACTATCAGATAAGAATGTAACCTGAAACTATGTGTATATCATTTCATGTAGTTGTGGCAAAGAATATAAAGGAAAGACTTAAAGAACATTGAAAAGCAAGGCTTGAAGAACATTGAAAAGTCATAATCCATGGGGAGATGATGAAATCAAACATAGATTATGAATTGAATATAGGGTCTGGTTTGGAATTATCATAATATTACTGAATACAATAACATTCTTAGAATGAAAAAGACTGGAAGGTATAATGGCTGAAATGTTAGAACTATAACAACCAAAATAAGCATGAAAAGAATAAATTTGAAATTGTTGACCCAAATTCTAATTCCAGTTGGGTTTGTTATATTCATTTACATGCAAATACTCTTGGGAATGTTATGAATCTACCTCTTCTCCCCCAGCTATGGGTTAATTAGTATAACTTGTATCAATATTATATCTAAAAAATTCTCACAATCTAAAAATATTTTCTGATTTTTTCATTTTTCAGATTATTTAAAATAACCTGCAAAATAAGCTGTAAAAATAAATCATTCAATCAATCATACTCAAAATGAAATTTGAAAAGAAACAAACATTTATTACAATAACAAAAAGTATTTTCATGAGATCAAATTGTACAAAATACAAAATAGTTAGGCCTTGCACAAAATTTCCCTTGTGTACCTGAAAATAGTCATGGCAAAATAACAATTCTTGTATAAGTTGAAATTCCCGTTTTCTTTTAGAAAACAACAGTTTATGTAAATTCATTTTCTCTTTTCTTTTAAAAACAATAAAAGAATTTTACTTACATTATAAGTGTTCAAGCTTAAAAGGTGAGAAAGGAATAATTATCTCAGTCCTTGATGGTTTCTTGTTTTAAAAAACAGAAAACCATCAATTTCTTGATCACAGGCATGAGATAAATTTTTGTAACAGATTTTCACAGGTATGAGATAAATTTTTGTAACAGATTTTCACAGTCATGAGATAAATTTTTGTAACAGATTTTCACAGGTATGAGATAAATTTTTGTAACAGATTTTCACAGGCATGAGATAAATTTTTGTAACAGATTTTCACAGGCATGAGATAAAATCTCAAAGTTTTGAAGTAGAATTTTGAATGTCTGAAATAAAAATCTCAAGTTTGAAAATTCTTCTTCTACTTTCTTTTTCTTCTTTAGCAGTCTATATGCTTGTAATGATTGAATCCTTTCTGCCTTGGCAGACAAAATTTCTTTTTATAGTGAGTCGGTGGTTCCAAACTGGATCAACAAATCAACTCTTTTACTTGGATATTTTTTTTATCCCTATTGGTTCAAAAAGTAGCCATTTAATTAAATCACACCTTTTTGCAAATTTTAATTTGACAGAATTGGAGCTTCTATTTTGTAATTTTTTTGCAAATAAACTTTTATTCATGTTTTTAATTCATATAAACTAACTGGCTTCATTTTGACTTTTTTTCTTGTTTAATAATAAAAATTAGTTCTTAACACATAGTAACTAACCTGTCTATATCTCTAAGATGAGGTATTATGATTACTTACATTATTCACATTATTCGGACTGTTATCCTCATCTTCATTGCCATATTCACAACATTTTGGCTGTTGCATGTTCTGGCCTTCTTCAGGTGATTGGAATTTCAAACTGAACCCTTTATTTCGCCCATTAGAGTAGATTGTTCTAGTGTAGAGGCCCATTAGTTAATATGTCCTTTCAATTTACATTTAATGAAAAATACCACAAAATATGAAACAACAAGAATAAACACAAAACAATGGTTTTATAACAACAACGGGATTTATATTTATATTTGTATAATGATGTAAAAGCATAGGGGTTACTATTTTTGTTGGTGTTATATCCCTTTGACTGAAGTTTTTACTAATAAAATATTTTTATCTGAGCTCACAAAAGTTGAATGAACTTGTTGCTCAAAATATTCACTGTTAGAGAGTTGAAAGAATTATAAGGCTGAGAATATGTTGAGTAAACTTTTAGCTTTAGGAGAGTTGAAGGAGTGAGTGTTCTGTAATGTTTGTAATTAAGTTTCCGTTGCTTGTCATTAAGTTTGTAATGTTCATAATGAAGTTTGAAAAGTTTCGTATGTTTGTAATGTAGTTTGGAAAATTTTGTACGTACATGTATCTGTGCATGTGAATATGTTTTCAGCATCCACCCGAACTGGGAATCAGAACGCAGTTTCCTTTAAAGCTACATTTTCGTAGGTAAATGAAATCAAGAAAAGAGAAAGAACGAACTCATGTCTGATATTTATAATTAATTTAATCATGTGACAGGCTTGAAAAGGCATTAACAGATTTTGGCAGAATTATTTTTTTGTCAAATGAAGAACTAGGTCGATGTTATTCGGACATGATTTAAATATTAAGTGACCAATCAGAAGTTGAGGTTTTCTGAAAATATGTATGAAGCTTGATAAACTCTGTGATCCACTTTTTGCACAGAAATCGACATTGATATTTGGGCATGATTTAAATATTAATTGACCAATCAGAAGCTGAGATTTTCTGAAAATATGTATGATGCTGGATAAGCTCTGTGATCCACTTTTTGTACAGATTTGTACAAAATTCAACATTGATAAGAAAGTGGTAGCAGGATGCTAAACTAGTTCCATGTGCCACATGCCATATGGATAACGGTGTTGGTCCAGTGGCTAGACCCAGAAAGTTGTGAGTTCAATACCTGGCTAAATCAGTGGTGAACCAAAACTTGGAGAGTTGAGTTAAAGGGAAATAACTGAAGCATCTGGAAGAGTCATGGTATGTGGAACTAGAACAATCCACCCCAGTGTATGAAATAAAGAGTTTGGTTTGAAATTCCAATCACCTGAAGAAGGCTAGAGCATACAACAGCTGAAACATTGTGAATATGGCAATGAAGATGAGGATAAAAATCTGAATAATGTAAATAATGTAAGTAAACATAGTAACTAATTTTTATTATTTTTCACATATAGATTAATTTTTATACAATTTGAATATTTTCTTTTTTATTATATAGATCATTTTTATAGATTGTCATGTATGAATATAATCTTCAATTTAAAGCTTCTTGGTTGGGATTTGTACCACTCAAAAGTATTTTGTCCCAGAGGTTACAATCATTCCCTGCATTTATCCTGATACCATCATCAGCTTTGAAGAGATCTATCATTTTACTGCCAACAATAATAGCTCCATTGTTGTTTTCTAAGTTATATTGATTATTTCAATGAAGGCTCTAACCTCTAGTTCTGCCATCATGTTAACTCAACATTCATCACTAAAAATTAATGTTGAGAAATCAGTTTTTATGTAATTTTTTGCCTTATTTACACATTTCACTGTATTATATTTTTTTAAAAATTTGGTAGTTTTGTTGTTTTCATGTCTTTTACCAATGTTATTTTGTTTCTTTTCTGATTACATTAGCAAAACCAACGTCTTCAAATATTTTCTTGATTACCAATCCACTTTAATAGCTTTTAAAATTTTCTCAAATCTCTTTGTAATTTTCTTAAAGTCAGTTTTTCTCTTATTTTTCTCTTACAAATATTTTCATTTTTTTGATTGTTCTATGATCTCTTTTCAACTTTTTTATAATTTCCAATGTATTCTAATTACTACTTAAATTTACAATATCTTGTTTCTTTTTTGAGGTTATAGTTTTCTTATGATACACACACATACATATTCAATATAATGAACTACACTCAAGTTGCATATTAAAATCTTACACTCCAAAAGAAGTTGTAAATATTTTAAATAAAAACAGATGTTATTAGTTAAAATGTACATAGTATATTTATCATATTCTGTAGATTTTTACCAACATTGATTAATACCAATTTTATTGTGAAAACATTGTTGAAATGTATAATTATTATGCATTTTAATTACACTATTATTATTATATTATGTATAATTATTATTATGATTTGATTATAAAATCAGACATCATAGAGTAGCAATAAATATTGTGCAAAAAAGGTTTTAATATTTTTAAAACATACCTATAAAATAGTTCCAAAAACAAAGTATTTTTTCATGAATCACTACTTTTTTTCTTCTTCAATAAGTACCGAACTTGACTTAAGAAGCCTAAATTAAAAATGGGTTAGCAGAAGAAATCTTATGCATTCTCACCAAGAAAATTATTAAGGGTAGATAACTGTTAAGTTTAATGTAGGGGGCGTACTAGCAACGTCAAGTCAGTCAACATGGCTTTTGCGAATGCTGTTGGTACGGATGCTGTATCCAAAAATGTTGAAGCTGATAAAGAAAATATTTCTTTAGCGAAAACATTCACTGTCGAAAGTAAGCTTCTGTATTACTTTCCCCCGCCCAATTAACAGAACAAAAGACTGTTGTTTTGTTTTTCATTTTTAAGACCAATTTCTTTCATCTGTAAATCACTCAAATCCCAGACTTCGTCTGACTATTACCGTGTATCAGGATTGGAAATTAGTCTCGTTGAATATTTTTGGCTTGTTTTAAAACAAAATTCTAATCAATATTCAAAATATTGCCCCGTTTTTATACTTCATACTCATATTTTACTGGTATGGTATTCATCATTACAATTTGTCAATTTATATGCATCTGTCTTAAGAAGCACGAGTTTGGTCAAAAAGCATGTGCTCTAGCTTTGCTTATTGGTTTAAACCGCTGTGGTAAATCCACGTTCACTTTTCTTTCTCTTGTTTCATTTGCCGGTTCTCCTTTACGTTGCCTATTTATTACCGATAGTTGTATTTTAATTTCATTTTTTTCTCTTAAATCTTTTGTTTTGTTTTTTTTTGCTTATTGACTTATTTTTGTTATTTGAAGAAACCAGTTGTTAGAGAACTGAGTTGTTTCATTTTCAAATAATTCCAACCCATATGGTTGGTCCGGACGAACTACTCACGTAGAATACTATCACCGACAGAAAAGTATTTCTACCACTACTTTGTTTTTTTTTTTTTTGTAGACATCTATTTCGCCACATGGAATATTTTACATGGTAATAGTATTCAAGCAGTGTTGATCATTTTAGTGATAGTTTTAGGTACAACTTAGTAGAAGACGTGGCGGCCGTGATTCCTTTTAAGTTCAGCTTAAAATACTTAACATTGCTTATTTTACAGTACACAATCGTAATTTAGTATTTTTTTTTTTTTTTTTTTTACCACCGCTACTACTAACACCAAATCATTTTTCTTCCTCTTTCTGATCATAATTGTTCATTGATTCGTAATAATCATGAAATATTAAAGGGAAAAGTGAGAAAACTGGTCCATTTTTTTTTTGTAAAATCGAATCTCAAAAATGCTACATTTTACAAAAAATAAATTACAGTGTACGCTGAATAATACTGACCTCATTAAAATTTAGCTTTTTTTAATTAAAGATTGAAGAACCATTTTTAAGACGAGCGTAAACTAATAACTTAAGTTACGCAAATTTACATTGTTTTCAAAAATTACTTGCGTTAACCTTTGATTTAGAATTTCAATTGGCGATAAGAACATTTTTTACGCATCATTACGAAGCTTCATAAAAACTTAGTTTTTGAATTAATCCTTTCAAATGCATTCTGGCTGGTGAATGTAAGTTGAAAAAATGCGCAAAATTTCCGACGGCATGATTTTCTAAGAGACCTTTCAGTGCACAGCTGCAATCATACCTTTTGATTCCAGGTATTCAACCTTTATTTTGATTTTTATGAAGGCTTCCACGGAGACAGCCAAGATCGTAAAAATTAGTCGAAATTATGACCCTCAGGACACATTGCCAAACATCATTTAAAAACAATATTCTTTTAGTGTTGAAGAGCAGTTTTTCCTTTTAAAGATATTTAAAAAATATACATTTTATGATCACTCACTTTTTACGTTTTAAAATATTACATTTTTCATTAAAAGATTTTAGGTGAACAAAACTTGTTTTTTTTTTTTTTTTATTCGTCAAGCACAAAAAGCAAAACAAATCAAGGAAAGTCCGTTATTGATTGCTGAGAATAGAAATTGGCATATTTTTGTGAAATTTTATGAATAAAAATAAAAATTGTCAAACTTTTTAGCACAAAAACAAGTTTAAAAATCAAACATTTAATTTCTTTCTTTTTTTTTTTTTTTTTTTTAAATTATCATTAGAGCCCACCGTACAAGTAAGGGGAAATTTCCGTATGATTAGCATTAGTTATTTGATTACAATTACATTTTTAAGAAAAGTTAGTTTTTTTAGGTAGTTGACAAATGAGCCACTCTAACTAGAAATGTTAATCATTTTTTTATTTCCTTAAAAATCAACATTTATTTTTTTTTTTTTTTTTTAACGGACATAAATAAACACTCCTTAATTTTACGAAATCTGCTGTTAAATTCTGATGCTGACAACTATTACTTTTTCCTTGCGAAAAAAAAAATCTCTTAAAAAAAAAAAATATGCCGTACATTATTTTTTTTAAACCTATTGCTGTGATAACTTTAATTGCGAACTTGGATTTTTTTCCTTCAATCTCTAATTCCAGGTACTTTCATGTTTTTAAAAATAACATTTTCGAATATTTTTAAATGCAATTTTTTTCATTATTATTTTCATATGGATTTTATTTTTTATCACAGTTCAACTTGTACAACGAGATAGGGTTGTTAAGCTATCTTAGAAAGAATCAGGCTTCTTTTGACTACTTTCTTTTAGTTACTTTTTAGAAAATTTTAAATTACGGAATTTAAACTTAAATCTTGATAAACAACGAATAACGTAATTTATAAAAATCTCTAAATCATAAACTTTTTTTCGGCGTTGTCAGATTATCATTATAATTTATTCATTTTGTAAGACAATTTAAAAAAAAAATGATTTTACTGTTTTAAGAATGAAAAATGCCATTCAGTTCCACGATCAATTTGGAACATGCCTAGAAAAAAATGTCAGAATTAAGTTTATTTTTGTTATTTCGTTCACTAAAGTTTTGCAGTGCTAAAAATGAGCATATGAAAAAATGCGTAAAAAAAACTAGTAAAATCAAAATTCTATCGTCAAAATCTTTAGAGGAAAGAATATTCTTTACTCTATTATTAAAAAATGATCATAGTATGGGAAATTTTGAACCTCTTTTTGTGGTGAAGAATATGTTGATTCGGAAATTCTTGTAAGTCAGATAATTGTCAGATTTTATACTTTCAGGACTTCTTCACAAATTATTTTAGAAACGTTTCTTTTTTAGAAAATCTTGGTAAAAATATTTTTTGCACTTGTTACTCTTCCCCCCTTTATTTAATTTTATGAAATTCCAAGAAATTCATTTTTGTATTTTATATTAGTTTTAGGACAAGTCGCTATTGTCTTAAGAAAAATATTTTTTTGATGGATAATGAATTTTTACAAGAATTGTTTTACTTTTAATTATTTATAAATTTAAAAAATTTTTTAAAATGTGATTGCTGATTAAGTAAAAAGTATTCTAATCAAGAATTTCTGTTTTCAAGATATTTTTAACGTAATCTACAACCTAAAATATTTTTATTCGTAAAATAAAACTTTTGATCGTAAGTTTTGGAATTGGAAACTATCATCTCATCATCTGGTTACTTCATCAAGAGGAACTCTAACGTTTTTTTGTCCTTTTCTGGCAAGATTCAAGTTTAAAAAAAAAATATTTCTATTGTAAATTATAGATTTGCAAGTTGGGACATTTAAAAAAAATAAATTTATTTTTACAGCACTAAATCATAAAGCCGGGTACACTATTAGGAAATCTTTAAATGATTTTTTAAAAATTTTGTAAGCTATATTTCTGTATTTACTATGCAGAAGCTAGACTTTTTCTGATTGATCTTTCCATTGATTTTTAATTCAGATTGTTTTTTTCTGCAAGAAATTACAAGAATATTAATGAAAAAACCGAGAATCCTCGGTACTTGTTGATCATAGCCAAAGCATTATATAACTTAAACTAACAACTAACTTGAAATAGAGGAATATCAGTAGTAATTAAACTTCTTTAAATGGAAATCATCATATTCTTCCTGTTAATATTTGCAAATAATTTTATTAGCATAAATTTCAAATAAGAATATTAGATTAAAAATGTTGATTCATCAAGTTAGAAAAAAGTTAAAGTTTGTTTAAAAAGCTTCAGTAAATAAAAATGCAAAAACTAAAGTAATTTATAGTTTACCCCGTTTTACTGGCATGTGATAATGATAAAGCTAGGAAATTAATGGATTTATCTGTAAATTTTTCTTTTTTTAGTGCTAAAGAACCTTCTGTCTTTTTAATGACTCTGTAACTCTATTGTCACTACATGAATGATTCATTGGCATTCACTCTCTTGGGACTTGTTTTGTTATTGCCATAACAATATCCTCATTGATCAGGTGTAGTAACTCTCTTATTCTTTAATATATAATTCTAAAATGTCTATTTTCAACTTCAGGATTAAGATGAAATGTTTTTGAACATGAATATTTTCTGAAACTTTAAATACTTAAAAATTTTGGAATTATTACAATAATAGGTCAACATAATTGGGCTGTATCTTCGAAAGTTTTATTGAAATCAAATCCTCTTTTCATTTTTAGACAGAAACCAAATTTCAAATATTCTTTTAAGCTAATCATAAGTATTAAAAAGTAAAAATGATTAAAGGTACACTTTTTTTTTTTTTTTTTTACAATGTTCACCCTATACAATGCCCAAGAGTCACTCAAGGTACAGAGTAAGTGGTAAGAAGCACAGGTTATGAGGATATGTGGGGAAGATAACAGTTAACCCTAGACTGGAACAGGTTTAAATTGTAGTGATTGAGGAAGCACCCTTTTGGGAATCTGAGTGGAACTTATATCTCATCAATGGGTTTGGTTTATTACAATGTGTATGGTATGGCAGCTCTTAGCTGTGAAGGTTAGAATTGGTGGAACTAAGGAATATACTTTGTCTGAACACTTTCCATGGAAGTAGCTATAGGCTTGCAATGTTTTGTGAGAAAGGGGTTGTAAGGTGGAAAATAATTTATCACCTACAAGGCCACATAGATGCTTCTGAACTCTATCAAGACTGACCATTTTTCCAGCATCTTTAGTAATGGATTGTATGAGTGAGTTTTACTTGAGATCTGGTTTGAGTTTGTCCCAATAGGTGTTTGAGGCATGGGCCTCCCTATGAACAATATCTAATTCTACAGTGATATTTTTCTTTACTGATATTATCCCAGTATTGATATATTCATATAATCTTTGATAAAGATGTAAATGATAGCTGAGAAAGTATTTCCAAGTATGGGTAGTTTCAATTTGATGATATACAACTTTTATCAAAAAAGAATTTATTAATGGATTTGTAGGCATTTATTATCTATGTCGTGTAATAATTTAAGGTAATGTAAAGGTATATGACTATACAAAGAACATTAAATATCACCTCTAATAGTACACAATATATATTTATCTGATCTAAATTTTTGGGATGAAGAGTTATTTACATTTGAACTAATGCCATCATCTTTGTTATTAGTGTCACTGTTCATGTAAGTATCTTTTGGTTAATTTTCCTTTTTAGTACAGATCACCTGTTTTCCACTAAGTTTATCCGTGCTAACCTGCCAAAGAATTACTATCTTACCAAATTCATTCACCAATAATCTAATCCTCTTGACCATTGTTTCATGATGCAACTGTAACATTTTTTTTTTTTTTTTTTTTTTTGTATTTGTGACAATGATTATATTACAATGAGAGAATGAATTGGGAATTGTCATAAAAACAAAAATATGATTGTTGGTGAAAAATAGTGAAATGAAAATAGATTTTAATCATCTGGATGTGAATGCATCAAAGTTGCTTCTTGGATTTTCTGTTCTCAGCATGAATAATTTAATAGAAAAATATCTTATTTCTTGCAAAGGAATGTCCTGGTTTCTTCAGACCTACCTGATGGACTTTGGAAGTATTCAGCTGTCTTCATATCACATAAAAGGAAATTTTGATTTTCAATATTTTGATATATATTCTATGAAAGTTGTACTACTATCCTTGTGAATCGTTCTTGGGCTAATAGCTGAAATGTAGCTTTTTTTTTTTCCTCTTTTTTATAAATTATAAATTTATTTTGTCGTTTCCTGCTCTGGTTACAAATGCAAAACAAAACTAAATTGTAACCTTGCACACAATGCAAGTGTATACATCATAATAATAGACTAAATTAGTCTATTTCACATTCTAAAATCTGCATACTAACAATGTAAACAATATGATAAGTAGATCTGTTTCCACTTATAACTTAAGTTGAAGTTACTTACACTTGATGACTAACTCCATGGTTGTGATTAAATTATGATTTCAAGGTCTTCAAACAGAAGAAATATCATTTTAAAAAAAAAAAGTGTCTTGTTTCACTTTCACCAATTTAACTCCACTGTGAAAGTGATCAGATTACCTTTTTTTAGTTAGCATAAACATAGGTGGGTAAGTGTATTTGGATAAAGAACATTAAATTGTTTGTGGGCGAGGAGAATGCTCCTTGCAATGCAATATGGTAGTAATACAAGAAATTGTGTGCTTGGATCAAAGAAGATAGTTGAAAAAATGACAATTTATTATTTTACATGTGATCCAGTTAAAATGTCAGTTTAAATTTAACATTTTTAAAAAAAAATTTATTTATTTATTTTTTAAACCCCCTTATTCTTCAGTTTTACAGATCATTAAAGAAGCCCAACAGCAACATGGTCTTCGACATGGTGACTATCAACGTTACAGGTAGTTTTAGTAAATTTCCCTCTCTGTGTGTGTTTGGTGGGGAGATTGTCAACTTTTCAAACCTGATCATTGTTATGCAGAGTCCTTTTATTATTTTTTCTTAATCATTATACTTTGTCAATATAAATAATTAACATTTACTTTCTAAATCTGATGGGTTAAAAATAGGTTTTGTGGTTTGACATGTAACAAGCAGCAAATTGGCAATCTCATTTAAAACCTTATATTTCAGTAACTTTTTAAGACTAAGTAAAAATATCCGTATTTTTAGCATATACTTTTTATTTTTATAAAACTAAAAATGTGATTCAAGCACATAAAATTGTGTAGTTTATGGAGAAAGTACTATGCTATAAAAAATATTACCTATTTTCCTGTAGGAGTTATTGCAGCCGCAGACTTCGACGTATTCGTAAATCTTTGCACTTTCCCCAAGGATCAAAGCACAAGGTGGTACCCAAGAAAATTCAAGAGGAAATGTTGGTTGATGTCAGGTAAGTTTATTTTGGATTTTGACAAACTTTTATTTTTTTTTTTTTTTTTTTTTCCTTCCTTCCTTTAAAAAAACATTTATACCTTGAGACTTTAATAAATTTGTTCAGACATTATCCAAAATTTGATGTATGAAATGAACATTTTTGAAAAATTTAATTTGAAAATTCGCAAACAAAGCAAATAATAGGAGAATCACAATAGGGAAAAATTAACCTTTTAACAGCCAAACCATATCACTAAATTTTTAAGTTTTTACAAATGTATAATTTTATAATACATAGATGATTTGTTTCGCTTTTTATAAAATTCATTGATATGCAATATGCATAATTGATAGCAAAGTCAAATGTTAGAAATAAAGTCTTGTGTTAATAATTCTGCAATGTGAACTACATCTGAGTTTATTTACTTTATTATAGCTAATTTACTTATATTTTATTTTCATATTTCATATTATATATATATAATATATAATCATATATATTTTTCATTTTTACACATATATAATCATATATATATTTTCATTTTTACATATATAATCATATATATTTTCATTTTTACACATATATAATCATATATATTTTATTTTTACATATATATCATATTTTATATTTTCATTTTACACATATATAATCATATATATATTTTCATTTTTACACATATATAATCACATTTTCATTTTTACACATATATAATCACATTTTCATTTTCACACATATATAATCACATATATTTTCATTTTCACACATATATAATCACATATTTTCATTTTCACACATATATAATCACATATTTTCATTTTCACACATATATAATCACATATATTTTCATTTTCACACATATATAATCACATATATTTTCATTTTCACACATATATAATCATATATGTGATAAATTTGGGTATGTAATCCTGACAGTTATAATTTAACATTTATAAAACAATATCTGATAATCCATTTCACCTACATGGCTTCATCAGGTGAATAACAAAAATGTGTGTGTGTGTTTAAAATATTTAAATCCTATATTATTTTTCCCAAGCTGGCATTGCTCGAGACTAAAAAACAGAAAGAAAATGAGTGACTTTTAAAAAATCATTTAACATTATATATTCTCCACCTTAAGTGTCCAAGTTTTGAGATGGAAATCCTACAGAAAGGATAGAAAATAGATGAAAGAATATTATTTTCAAAACATGCTTTCATGAACGTTTTTCCAAATGCCATTATTCATATATAAATTTATATTGTAGTTGTTCATTCCTGCTTCAAATCTTCCATCTATGTAATCTTAGATAAAAAAAAAAAGCCTTTAACATTTTTTTTACTCTATATTGAAAATACATTATTTTAATGAACTAATATTTGTATGCTTGTGTATTTGTTGCTGCAATACAGTAAAAATGGCATATCATCATGCATACTGTTGAAATGCTCTAACTTGCAGAATAAAGAAATTTATAATCCAATTGAGCCATTAAACCCAGTAATTTATTTTTAATTAAGAATAAATTGGCTGAAAGAAAGGAAAATAGGAAATTTAAAAAAAATGTTCAAGAATGACAACTCCAGACTTATTAACTATTAATTACTGAATTGTTACTCTTGACCTGTCTCTACTTTTTACACTGCCTGTCATAGGGGATATCCTTATGATGATAGTTTAATAATAACAATAATAGTAGTAAGTTTAATGATAACTAGCATTTAAAATAATTCTGATCTTCTATATCCTGTGTTCTTTCAGGATGTGAGTGAACCTGGCTCTTCACAACTTCCTATATCTCTTGGCCATATTGTTCAAAAAACATTTATTTGAATTGTAAATTTTTTGAATGAAAATTAATTGAAAGAACAATTATACTAAATGATAATTGTTTGAAATACATATGTGGTCTTGCTTTGAGAGAGTCAATGCAGATTTACCTAGAACTAATAATGCCATTGAAGGATGATATAGGGCTTTTTTTGCAGAAAGTATCATGCCACAATATGGAAATTCTTAGATGGTCTTAAAAGATGGTCTTAAACAGGCCTTGCAAGAAATTCATATTGCAAAAATAAGAGCAGATTACCAAAATATCAAGTGCCAAGAAATACCACAATGTTAAAAAATTAATGGCATCCTTTAACAAGTACTCTTCAGTAATTGACTATTTGTGTGCAGTATCATAGTTATAAAGATTTTTTTCTTACTAAATTGTTTTATTTACAATATTTGTATTTTGAATAATTATCGTTTGTGCATTTACTCTTTTAATTTTTATTGCAATAAAGAATTTTACATTTCAGATAATTATCATTTAGTATAATTGTCCTTTGGAATAATTGTTTTTGAATAATGTTCACATAATCACTCTTAGCAATGTTTGCTATTATCCCTACCACTCCCTGTTCTGCCAGGTAGTTTACTTAATGCTTCCCACTGTTCCTTAATATACCTTGTGAATGTCACATTTTCCAAGCCTTTTTTTATTGTAGAAATTTCAACTCTTTGTAAATATAAGTGTCCTTTTTGTTTCAGTTTTCCTTAAAACCTCTTTGTTGCTTACATACCCCATCCACGGCATTGTAAATATCCTTCTATAAAACCACATCTTTGTTATCTCCTCTTAATCTGTGAGGAAATTGTCCAGTAAGAAAATTGATATAGTAGCAATTAAATTTTTCTGTTTCTTAATAGGTTTAGCTTTTGGAAAGCATCTTTTGCAATTCCAATGTGCCTTTGGATTTTGGTGTCACATTTTCCATCATATGTTAAAACTTCCCAAATATTTAAACTTTTGTATTTGTTTGAGTTTTGACATAACCAATTTGTAGCTCACATCTTGGGTTGTTTCTCTTGAATGTTATACAAATTTGGTACTTAAGCAAGTTGCACATTTAAAAAAAAAAATTGAATGCTGAATACAAAAAAAATTGATTTAAAAAAAAAAAAAAAAAAAAATGATTTAATAGATTAACATTTTTCATGTTCTAAAATCTTATCTTTTAGTATTGAAATATACCAACCTATTTGATTTTTATATTTAAAAGAAAAAAACTTTGCAGAAAAATATTTTATCTGAAATAATGCTTAAAATTTAATAAGTAACAAACTTCTTGGTCCAAATGCATTATGTAAGTATTGCTATTAAAGATGCTTTACTTTTCAAGTGAGAAACTATTGTGTCAGTAATCGTCTGTAGATAAATATGATGGGAACATTGGTTTCTTTGGAATTTGATACTGAAGTATTTTTATAAAAGTATGAAATCAACAGCATTTTAAAAATAAAACTTTTAATGTCCTTTTGTAGAACTAATGATAATATCCTATTATAATTGTGCTTGTCCCTTCCTTTGTTAGCACAACTGTTATGTCATCTTATAAATAATGAACTATTTCATGTTTTGATTATGTGAGGAGGAAAAGACATTACTTGGTTTCAGTGAGAAAAAAAGGGAGAGAGAATGAATACATTTTGGTCCCAGCCAAAACTCTGAAGTATGATGACATGTTAAAAATGTCATTTATCAAACGACAAACCAAGTAAGGAAAAAAAACAAGTTACCATAAATATCATCTGAATTATTTTTAAATTATTATTAAGAGAACTGTTCATAAGGTGGGGATTTGGCTAGAAAGAAAGGTGGGAAAATAAGTGTTTAAAGTCTCCTGCTAATACCTCATAAATAATCGACTATTCTGTTTTGATGTGTAACAAAACAAGACATGAATGAAAGAAAAAATTTTTCAGTGAAATGAGCAAAGTTGTCAATTAATATAATGGCCAGCATTCATATTTATGATAGTTTTTGCAATATTTTGTTAGTTAAAGTTAAGCTCAAATATTTTAGTGATGTGATAGGGGAATTTTTATGGATATTTTATTGTCATAGAACTCACCATGAGCTTATTCAATTATTAACTGAAGAATTAAGATTCAGCAGAAAATTCAAATAAGAAAACCATGAAATTTTCACAAGTTTTTCTAGTATTTCTTAGTTCTTGTTATTTTGATACAGGCTGAAAATTTGTAAAATTTTAAATTAATTTTAATCATTTAGAAAAATAAATTTGAACATTAATATCAATTTTTTTTTCTATATGAAGCAAAATAAAAGCAAATATTTTATATCTATGCCATATAACACATGTTTCATTTTTAAACTATCATTATTCTAGTAATGTTTCATGCTTGAGTGAAAACACCTGTATTTTTTTTTTTTTTATAATATAAGATAGAACCATTTAAGTATGATTCAAGATACTTCCTCACATGGCAATTAATAGTTCATGTGTAGCCACTTGCTAAGCCTTCAGCTATGAGGGAGGTGCTAAACAGATGCCTAGCCCACTATCCAAAAGCTGACTAAATGATATAACAAGTATTTTTTAACAGCTGCTTGAGAACTATTCAGCAGTTTAATTTATCTGCAATTGTAATATCTACTTAAGAAATTGAATTCAGTTCATTGTTTTAAAAATTGGCATCTCTACCATGTATGATTTTAAAAAATATTTTGTTTAATTCTGATTTAGATTAACATTTTCTTTTACACCTTAGATATCTACATATTCCCTTATTTTGTGCGGAGAGAGCCTGGGGTTATTATATGCAGCTAAAAGCTGAAGCAAACACAGAGCCCAGGAAACGTTTTCATATGTTGTCGCGTCTGAAGAAAGCAGTGCAGTATACTGCAGATTTGGCTCGGCTATGTCAGAGTGCCTGCTGTGATGCCCGTACCAAACTAGAGTCCCAAGTAAGTATTTTGAATCTTTAGTCTATTAAGTTAAAAATTTTGTCTTTTAGAATGGTTACAATAGACAAGGAAGTCTGGAAAATATTGATCTTACATTCAGTAAGTGAACAAATGCAAAAAAAATTAGCTCGTCATTAATATTTCACCTTCTTAATTGAGAAATATGTTTAGATGATTATATTTAGCTTCATTTATTTCAGTTATTTGAACATTAGAATTCTAAGCATAAATTTGCAAAAGAAAAACCTTGTCGAAAAAACACATTGCTGCAAAATGTGAATTATTTGTATGTTAGCAACAAAATATCAATGTTTTGTCTTTCAAAATTTCATAATTCACATTGTTAGTTCTATTGTTTGTTTAAATGTGTTCCAGGTTTTTTTTTTGTTTTTTCAATAAAATCTTAGCTAATTCTACGTAAGTTGTTGATGTCAATCTTAACTTCTGATAAAATAGATCTGTAACTTAGATTTACTTTTAATTATGAAACTGCTTTTTTTTTTCTTTGTTGATATTCTGTATTTAACCCTCTATCAGCAAAATGCTATCTTAAAAACACCTTAAAGTTTTGATTCTAACAAAAAAAAAAGATTCTTGTTGATAAATGTGCCAATGTGAATGCATAATCGTGACATTAAAGATCATATATATTTCAATTAAAATAATTCTGAAACAAAACAAAATGTATTAACTTTACATTAATGTAGTATAACTTCTTATCACTTTATAAAACTGCCTTTCTTTTTTACAGGGTTACCAAGCCTGGATGAAAGGAACTTTGGAATTTGAACTGGAGGATTGGCGAAGTGCAATGGAGCTGTACACTAATTCGGAGACTATTTATTCCAAGTTGGCCAGTGCCTTCACAGACGAAACAAAAGATTTATACTTACAGCGAGTGTCTGAAGTGGCTCCCAACATTCGCTACTGTAGCTTTAGGATTGGTGATGAATCTGCTGTAAAAGATTTATTGCAGATGAGGCTTAAATCTGGGGAAGATGCTCATCTTGCCCATTTGGATGTAAGACTGTTGTCTTTACCATTCTTTGCACTCATACTTATTGAAAATATTGTCTTGGTTTCTGTGAGGAACTTTAAATAAATTTACTTTTCTTTAGATACTATTTAAAGAAAAAAATTTATAAGATAAACTGATTGCATGTTTACATGTGCAGTGTCATTTCACTATGTGAATTACCCTTATATACAAGTTGGAAACACAGTTTGCAACATATTTCAATTACATCTTAAATTAATGTATAAAATGAACTCCTTGATAATTGTTGATTCATATTATAAAATGGATATGGATATTTATATGTATTTGGTTGCTAAGAGTGTATTGCTTTATCTTACAGACTATTTTAATGATTTTCCTGCTTTTAAGCCTGAAATTAAATTAAAATGTTTCCAGCCATCAATTTTTATCACAACTACTTCAATTAAGTGTGCAAGTATTATCATCATTTATGTTTTTATAATTCATAGTATCTTGATCTGAAATATTATTAAGTCATGTTAAAGAATCTGTAGTTTATTTGTTCTTCTTTTTAAGTTCTTGGTTTGTCTCTACTGATTGTCTTATGATTATTGTTTTTAATGCAGTATTTGTCATTTCATTAATCCCTTCATGTCAAATGCTATAAAAATTAAATTTGTTCTCAATTCAGTTACATTTATAATTTTCTGTGTGTATACACACACAATTGCAGCATTTTGATCATGTGTTTTTATGTGTTTCAATTTGCTTGAGATTAAATGTACAGATAATATAGGTAGATTTCAGTAAATCACCACATGCAGAGTTCAATATTTTCATTGGTCCAAAAATAATGGGTATGACGGTGGTACTCAGATTCCATATTAGTACACTGTACTTTTTCCTTGGGCATCAATACAGTCCTGTCCTCTTGCATACCAAAAAATTGTAAAGATAACAAATATCATCTTGTAATACATTATTCAATGCCTCTTACACTCATTGACATAATACAGCAAGAATTTTAAGTGGGCTAGCTGGAAGAATTGAGCATTGTTCCATATATGTTCAGTAAGGAACAGGTCTGGTGATCATGCTAGCCAGAGAAGCACATTTACTAGAACTGCAAATTGCCTTTATGTTGCAGGAATAGCAACAGAACAGTTTGATCAATGTTCTGGATGTAAATGGTACTGTTCAATGTTACCTCCACAAATAACAAAAGTGAACCAGAATTGTAATTTATAAGAGCCAACATTATTATGCTAGGGTTTGTGAGTCATGGATGGTAACACTTACAATAGTGTTATTTGATCACCCAGGTGACTATCTTGCAATATTGCTAGAGGCATGAATGGTGGTTGGGTAGCATAATTGAAAATTTAACTAGAAGCATAGGTGCTTGTACTCCTGTTCCCAAGAGTCTGTGTTGATGCTCCTGGTGTAGCACTTTTTTTTTTTTTTTTCCATATAAGCATGTACCTATGCATGAATAGCATCTGTACTTTATGGTCATCCAGAACCTGGCCTTTGGGTGTCAGAATTTTCATTTGAACACTTACCAATATCAAAGCAGCAATTACATGTTATAGCCAATGTGTGTAGCTATTCTTCAAAATGACCACCAGCCACTTGGAGGTCTACAGTCCAGCCTCTTGACCAGCACTAATTGAGTGAATGGAGAACCTGTTTGCACTGAAATTTTTCATCATACTCAACCGTAATGCAGCATGCATTATGGTAAAACTTAGACAGTAGTGGTATTATGTCATAAGATGGCTGAAGACTTTGAAAAAATTTTTATCAGAATATGCTTACTTGTATGAGCACATATTGTATCTAGAATAATATTTTCATTTTTATTCAAGCTGTTGCAATCATATAAGCACATTATTTACAGTCAAATATATACATTTTTCTGTGTATAGGTTTTATTTCTTTATTGTTGTAATTCCAGCAATTGTTATCCCAAACCCGTGAAAAGCAGGCTGCCACATTGTCTGAGGTAACCTGGCGGGACCGTACAGTGCCTGTGAAGAATGAACAAGTTAGACTGTTTCTGCTAAATCTGCAAGAATCTGACAAGCAAGTTGAGTCAGCTGAGGGATTTGACAGCAAATTATCTGTTATTGAAAGTTTATTGAAACAGTGCATAGATGCTCAGCAAGTTCTCAGGGAGATGCTGAATGATGACCAGGTGAGCTGTTAATGAAATATAATCAGTTTAATAAGCATTGAACAATTATTGTGATTTTTGCAATTGTTGTACAAAAAAAATAATTTTTTTTTATTACACTCCTCTTGGATGTATTTATATTTACATTGAATATATAAGCACTAATAAGTATTTGATAATTTTTTTTTTTTTTTTTTTTTTTTTTTTTTTTTGTTACAATTTATGTGACCTAAGTATATATCTGAATGCAGGCATATATTAACACAAAATTTCTAAAGTGTTTCTGATAACTGCATACTACTCTTTCTAGCCACACCAAATATAATTTAGAGATTGGCAGCTTTTTTTCTCTACTGTCAAACTGTAACCTGACAGGTTTTTTAGACAAGAAATCTGTTCCTAAAAAAGAAGCTCATAATCAATAGATAATGAATGTATCATGATTGAGGGATTTCTCATAAAGTGTAAATATTGGTCTTTAAATGATAATAATGATAAAAATTCTGTTTTATTGATAGAATTTTAAGGCAGCATTGCGTGGCCAACCAATTGATGGTAGGATCTCCAACCAACATTATTTGCACTCTTACCTCACTTTCATCCGACTTACTAAGACAATTAAAAGAAACTTGCTTCTAATTGACAATATGAAGCAGTACCTTCCCAATATGGTGGTACCAGAAGGGAAAAAAATTACTAAGCCTCAAGATTTGGTTCGTCTTTATGATATTATTATCCAGGTAAGTCTATCATTATCTTAAATGGTAACTTTTTAACTATTCAAACCATACAGAATATAGTACCCACCCTCTTTTTATTTAAATTTTTTAGTTTATTTTTTAAATCTTTAATTTCTCTTTAGAAAAAAAATTAACTTTTACCTCAGTATGAAAAAATGACTTTGCCTTTTTCTTGCCTATATTGTCATGTTTTCACAGTTGTGTATAGATTATCCTTGTCTGATATTTTCACCTTTGTAATGAATAATCTTGTTATTTGCTTATCTTTTAGGAATTTTCACTAGTCTAACATATTTTAGCAAAAATAAGCTTAATTTTTATTTTGATACTTCATACAAATATTTGATTTCACAAATAGAAATTAATTTTCTTTTATTTCAGAATCTAAATGAAATTCTCAATTTACCAGGCATTGAAGAAGATTCCAATTTATCAAATGAAATCAAAGCTCAAATTTTAGGTTTTAAAGCTTTCAGGTAAATAATTATCATTGACATTTATAATAACTAGAGATTTTATTTATTTATTCTTGTAGTACTGGTAATTTCATGCTCCCCACCTCCTCCAAAAAGGAGGGAGACTGATATTTGGGAATTAGGTTAGACTGAGTTTTCAGCAGCCACTTGTATTCAGAAATGTTACTTCATAAGTGTGGATAGATAATAAATTATTATTTATTGAACTTTCTGGAAATTTTCTAAATTTTTTTTTCTTTTTTTTTTTTTTTAAGAATCTGTCTCTTAACTCTCTTACAGTATAATGTATAATATATATATCAATTTACAAATTATAAATGTTATTTCCTAATAATTATTAATGTAAATGTTGAAATTGATGTAATTGAGTTCTTTTCTTTGCTAGTTTTAATCTAAAAACTTATTTTTTACTCTTGGTACAAAATATGGAAAATTACTAGTTAATGCTAACATTAAAACTATATTTTTTTCTTCCAGAACTTACTACATTGCATTTTCTTATTCTATGGACAAAAAATGGAAAGAATCTATAGCTTTATATGAGAGGGTTTTGGGTTATGCCGAGAAAAGCTTGGAAGGTTACAAAATGCTGGCCTCTCCTGGTGGAATTTCTGACACAAATGTAAGTATCAACTATGAAATGTTTCATATTTAAGTTGGTGGTGACAATCTTGTAGAGGAATTGATGACTATGGTGAAAAGAGATGGAATTTCTTGTGTTAAACTTTCAGAAATTATTTTTGGAAACTGTCATAAGACTGGACATGATTAGTTTATGTAACAGTTTTGCATTTTCTTTTAGCTGATGATAAACCATCATATCTTAAAGAAATAATTAAAATAGTAAATTTAAGGGTTTACTGTGCATTTAAGAAAAACTATTAGATTCAGTTTTAAGAATATTAAATATTTTGGAATTTAAAAGGCTATATTAAAAATAACTTTTGTAAACAAGTTGAGATATATTAGCAAATTTTTGAAATTATGATTTTAACATCTGTACATCTCATCTTTATTACAATATGCTGCCTTTTATTATTTAATTTAGGTTCAATGTTGTTTATTTTTGTGTCTAAGTATTCCTTCTCATTAGCTCATTTCATAACACTCAAAACATTGGAAAAACACTGGCTTGTATAATAAATACTTTTTCATGTGAAAATATTGTAATAACTTTATCAAAGATGTGTAATCTCTAATGTTGTTACAAACTTTTCAGGTTGAATATAAGAAGATAGCAGACTTGATAAAGAATGTGTCCTGTCTGAAACATTCATGTCATGCATCAAGTATTTTGGATTCAGGGGATACGATGGAACCAGTGAAAACCGTCCCTCATAAAAAGGTATAACAAAAAAATTAACCTCTTCAGTAAAAATTATTGTAACTAAATCTTTTTTTTACTTTTGAATCATTGTATTTTCATAATTTAAACTTGAAAAGGAAAATATTTTGGGGTTAAAATTTAAGTTTATGACTCAATTCAACTTAAAAACATTAACTTGCAAAATTAATGATCCCAGCTAGCTAAAGGCATGTTAGATTTAATGGGATAAAAACATAATTCAAAGAGTTATTTATCTATTTTCTTGTTACTGCTGAACTGACAAATGTACCACTATCTTAAACATGTCATAACCAGAATTTTATCAATAATAGAAGAAATTGTTGTTGGTATCTGTGAGATATTTATTAAGAAGGTTAAACACAAAAGGCCATGATTCAAAAACAATACAAGAACACACAAAGAAGAGATGCCTATAAAAAAAAGAAAAAAGAAAAAAATTTGCAGTTGGTAACTTCTGTTGCACCTGTCAAACTTTAGCCCCTTCCAATTACTTACCTTTTCCATGTTTCTGTTTTGAGAAATAACCTTTTGATTGCACTATATTTAGAAACTTTCTTACAAACCCAATAAGTTCTTTAATGTTTGATTAACTAATTCTTATTATATTAGGGAAAGCTAGTTTGTGGCCAACACATTTTTAAATTAGGCATTTTATGTCTCTCCATAAAAATGATGTTATAAACTTTATATTTTCCTTATATACAGTCTATTTAAACTGATCAAGTTCTATCTAAGTGGTACATATTTGGAGAGGGGCAGAAGGTCTAAGCAATATACAAGAATTTCAAATATTATACACTGCTATACAGGCTGCGATGGGTAAATTGTCGCCATTTTATATCTTTAATTTTGCACATACGCATTGTTTTTGATTTCGTCAACTACACAGTATAGTAGGGTCAGTTGGGCACCATCTCTGAGAAAAAAAGCACCATGACACAAATCACTCTGCCAGAAATTTGGAAACTGAATGTTGTACTGCTTGGCATTTGTGCCAAAAGCTCCAATACGAACATCTCAGTGTTTGGCGCCAATCTGAGGACAGTGCAGAGGATTTGAAGAGTTGGATGAGTCTAATGCTGATTACAAAAGTGTTTAGAGTGATGGCAACATTATGCCTTGAAGAGGTAGTGCTGTCCTGGGTCAAGAGTGGCTGCTGGAAGACCCTATGTTTGGAAACAGAACTCTGCATCATGCCACACAAGCAGAAGAATCCAGTCATAGGTGTCAGACAATTTCTGCAACCACAGCACCTCTTACATCTGGCCACCTAACTCCTCAGATTGCAACCCCCTTGATTATGTGTGTAGTGCAGTTGAGCAAGAGACCAACAAAACTCCTTGTAAGACCAAAGATGGACTGAAGGCAAGGATTATGGCAGCATTCACCAACTTAAACTATCCAGAAAAGTTGCAGGAGATTCCAAAGTCGTCTGGAGGCTGTTGTTGAAGCCAATGGCGATTTTTATTGAATAAATTTACTTCAGTATTTCAAGATATTTTTGTGTAATTTTGGTAAATATATCTTAAAATGAGATGTCGGTGTTATTTCCATTTTTGTGTAATTTAGACGACAATTTATCCATTGCACCCTGTATATGGTAATGTTAATTTTACATTAATGAAGTTAAACTTAATGAGAAATACAATTTAATAATACAAACAAAAACTTGTTTGCAAATGTAAACTTAATGTTTTCCCAAATATATTAATCTATTTGTCTTGTGCTTATTTATTTTTCAGCTTCTTATTGATAGGCTTCAACTGTATATAGAGGACCAATCATTGACTGGCAAGCATCCCAAACTCACGACTTTTCCTCCAAATTTTGAACCCATTCCTTGCAGACCCTTGTTTTATGACTTGGCACTTAATCATATTGCATTTCCGTCCTTGGAAGGCAAAACAGAACAAAAAGGCAGTGGTGGCATCACTGACCTGGTCAAGGGTTGGTTATGGGGTGGTGGAAAGAAATAGACCTTTTCCACTAACATATGCCATTTTATTCCAGTGGAAACCCTTACTGTTGCTTGAATAAATCTCTGAATAACCAGAAGCCAATATCAGGACAATAAAAAAAAAAATTTGAAATGATTAAACCTCTATTTTGGGACCATATGCCCGCTTAAAAATAAATAAAAAAAAAAAATTTAGATAGGGATTCTTTACTATTTATCTTTTCTATTTTTTATTTTTTTTGTCTTTCCTTATTTTCTGTGTACTCCGTTTTTTCTCTTTTACTTTTATTTTTTCATCCATAAAAAAATCCAAGTTTTATACAGAAGTATTTGTAAAAAAAAAAAATAAATAAAAAAAATAAAAACAATGGTATATGGTTAAATGGCACTCTCATTTGCCTAGTATTAGGTTCTTGTCTCTTCATTTTAACTGTTTGCTTCTTTTTTTGTTGTCATCCAAATTTGTTTATTAAAGATGTACAAGGGCTGGGTTAGTTTGAGAGAAATTTTTAATTCTCTCTTGGTTTCTGCAAAAGAAAAATAAACAAAGAAAAATTGATAACACTTTAGTTTGTTCTTTGTCTAATAATAGTGGGTGGATCTTTTGGCACTGGTTTCCAGAGACTGCAACCTTCACTGTGATTGAAGAAATACCTTTTAATAAAAAATAATTCACACAAATATTTGGACGATCATTGTTTTTGTTTTCTTTTTTGTCTATGTATTCATGTTGCATGTTCTTATTTTCTTTGAAGGAATATAATTAAATATTATTATTTAAGTGCAGTTAATAATAATTTTTAATAAAACTCAAATATTAAGAAGCCACTTTTAATTCATTGATACCCACTGTCCCCAAAATGGAATGGTGGGCATTAATGTGTTATAGGTAGACAAATAGTATTAGATTTTTAAAATTTTATTTTATTTACCTATATTAGTTTTTTTTTTTTTTTTTTTTTTGTGGACATCATTGTTTTTTCTTTCTCAATCAACTTCATTTATATTAAATCTAACAAACCTATAAGAATTGATATAATCATGGCATGTAGTCTTTTGAGCACTACAATATCAACATAAGCCTCAGTGATATTAATTGTCCTATGTTTTGAAATTGGAAAATCAACTCAAGATGAATTCTTCAGGAGGTTTTTAAAAAATTTTTTTTTTTTTTTCTTTTTATCATGTTTCTTCAGGAAATGGTTCTCCAAAATTTCCTTTTCTTTAACATCTGTGAATTACTAAAACTTTTTGAGTAAGGTAGGGGAGTGGTTTCCTATTGCCTTCTCTATCAGTTTTGAATTTAAAGTTGCCTTATTGATGGGGAGGTGTATTCATGTGTTTTCCTGACAGTGTTGGCAATTGGATGCAACAGCTAGGTAAAGACTAAAAATATTCTTAATCTCATTTTTTTATTAGATAATTTAGCATGTTTCATATTAAATTTGGCAATAAAATTTGTGTAAACAAAATGACAATTCTTGAATAATTTTCTAAGCTGTCTTAAACCTATCCTCTAATATCGGGTTATTAACTACAATCACTATTAAAATGTAAATTTTGTTAAATATTACTAAACAGGTACTTGTGATGATTTCATTTCAATAGGAAGCAGTAAGAACAATACTAATGACTGATTATAAAATAAAACTATAAAAGCTAATGCTCTTTGTTTTTTTTTTTTTTGTTTTTTTTCCCTAGGCCTGTTGATAATCAAAGTACCGAAATATTTTTGTTCTGTTAACTTTAGAATATTAACTTTATTTTTTATTTAATACATCAATAGTATTTGAAAATAAACTCATTTAAAACAAACTAAATATGTTAATTAACAAGATGGTCATCACTTTAAAGTTCAAAATCTATCACTGCTTTGAATTTTTTTTTAACTTTTCTTTCAGTTTTTTATTAGAATTTTTTGCAGCACACTGATGTGTGTTGAAATCCTCTTTAGTATTATTGAAGTTATTGATAACATTTTTTTTGCTGAGATTTTCCAACTACATTTTGTTTGGTTTTGCAAACCAATAAAAATTTGAAGAAGCTTATTTGTTTGGAAAAATCTTTTGACAGAAACCCTACCCTTGTAAAACCAACTTTACTTTGTACCCCCTTACCTGTTTGTATTTCTCTCCCAAATTTCTTTTTGATCAATATATGGGTATTTTAGAGGATGTAACAGACTAATAGAAGTCACAGAATTACATATATTAGATAATTGTTGTATGATTACAATAATCTAAAAAGCAAACAATGTTTAGAAAAGTGCTAAATTAGGAAAAATCAAAATTTATTGAATACTGAAAGGTAAAATAGGATATAAAAAAAAAAAAAAACAACTGAGTATGTAGACTAAATTTTAGAGGCTATTACATTACAGAAATACTATTATTTATACTAATATTTAATCTTAATTTCAGTTACTTTTAACACTGGTGTTCATCGGTTATAAGTAAACAGTATGGATCGGAAATGAAGCGGTATCTCAGTGTTGGATAATTGTTTGCCAAAATAGTCTAGTTGACTATTACTACTGTGTAGTGTTCAATCCTCATTAAGTGCTCCTTACAAAATTTGACATTAAATAACTCCACAAAAATTGACATGCTTTTGGTGAAAGTTTGCATACCTTATTCAAAAGTCATAATGGAGGTCTTTTTGCCAAATGATGCTACAAACTAATTGGAATGGCCAGCTGGATGCTGCACTAAAAAGCAAATAAAATTAAGATGAAAAATTACTGCTAAAAAAAATAACTGCCAATGCTTCATCTAAGAAATTTAAATATTATTACAACTAATTCTATCAGTATGTGTAAATCAAAACCAGCTGATGACAGCTTTTCTTTTTCAGGTGAAGATTGACTTTAGAAGTTAACATTTATTTTTGAACAACTTTACTGGAAATTATATAATTAATGGGTAACCTATTTTCTTTGTGTGGAGGTCAAGAATAGAACTAAGAAACTGGTATTAGTCAGAGTAGTATGCCGGGGATAAAATGAAGACTGAATTTCAAAAAGGACAAAATTAATGTCATTTGGTCTTTGACAAGCAAACTAATGTAAAAAAAATCACTTTGGCACTTAACACATCAACAAAGTATACATTGTTTTTTAAGATATTTGCAAAAATACTTTTTATAATTAAGAATATATGTTATACTGTAATTTACAATTTAGATATATGTAGTGTGTCAATAATGCATTATCTAAGATGCTCAGAATATCTGATAAATTGTGCCTGTAATTTGGTGGGATACTCTATATTCAAAAAGGTTTCATTGTTAGTGAAAAAAAAAGAAAGATACCTGTTTAATATTTTCACTCTTCAAGTATGGAAGGAAGAATGTGTTTCACTTCTTTTTTTGTTCTCCCAACAAAAGGGATCAAGTGAATTTTCAGATAGCAAAAGTTGGTGTCCAAATCATAAACTCTGACCAATCAAATGCATCATTGAATATCTAGTTTTAAATCCCTTTAGAGTTTCTTCAAGCCTTTATAAACATAACTCATCTGAGATATCATTCATACTATTATACCTAAAATAGAACCCCAACACCATGAAGCCAATAACTGACTGAAATCAACAGAACAATGACTTCTCTCACCTCGATATTTTTTGTGCATAGTATTAAGATCCAATGTTATCTATAGAAACAATATTAAAATTTAACAATAAGCATTATTTGCACAAATGACTGCTGAAATCCATAACAAATAAACTGAACCATTCTAACTATGTAAAATTAATCCCATCTTAACTTTTACTACTATTTAGTCTTAGATTTCCTATTTTTGATGTATAATTATCTTTGACTGTCGTTTTCACTTGTATAAACACCTGTTTTTATCTTATTAGCAACCAATGTTCATTGAAAAAGGCTACTTATAGGAGAAAAAGGTCTTTGTAGCATGTTGCTTGCATATTTGTATAGATGCCTAACTGTAGAAACCGACAACCAGTGGATCTATGTCATATTTCAATTGTAGATTGACAAGACCAATATATTCAAAGTTGTTTTCAAAATGAAAAATTTCCAATCCTACACTAGCTGCTGTTTTTTTTTTTTTTAAAAAACAAGGAGACAAGGCCACCAAGATGCAAGATGACATTGGAAATGAAACATAAGGGAAAGGCTTTAAAAGGAACAGGAAATGAGGGATACACTTCTACTCCTGTTCAAAAGACTGGGGAAGAGTGTGAACCGAACAATAAGCAAAACCTATCTACTCCTATTTCATATTGCCATTTTCATTTTATAGTATTAACTATTATGACAGAATGTGCTGAAAAGTTTTTGATCCACACAAGGAGCCCTTCTAAAATGTTCTATATATTTTGGAAAAAAAAGAAAAATGACAAATTGGAAAAAGTTTTTGTGATGCATTTCATCTGTTATGACTTCATTGGATCGAACATGTTACAAAAGCTTTTTCCAATTTGTCATACATCTTTCAAAACTCTTTTTGATATATAAAAATTTATATATTGTTATCCCATATATATATATATATATATATATATATTGTATTTTAATCTGATATCTTTACTACTTGAAACATTATCTGTCTATATTTCTGAGATGAAGTATGATGTACATTATTTACATTATTTGGACTATTGTCCTCATCTTTGTTGCCATATTTATTACAACGTTTTGGCTGTTGCATGCTCTGGCCTTCTTCATGTTGAACTTAACCCTTTATTTCGCTCACTACCAGCTGACAAATCAGATTATACAAGAAAGCTGGAAGACCTCATTAGCAATGGTAGCTACAGCAAAGTAAAAAAGGATCCTACAATGAAAACAGAATGCAAACTGTCACAGATACTAATCAAGAACAAGGATCACTTCGCACCTAAGACTTATAGGCAGTTATCACAGCGTTACACCAAGCTACCTCACATATACAGTCTCCCTAAGATTCACAAAGACGGTATTCCACTCAGGCTGATTGTTAGTTGCCAAGGCACTGTGTGCCACCCTCTGAGTCGCTTCCTTGTAGATATAATTGAC